CCAAACTCAATACATGCATAGAAAAGAGACGTCCTCAAGTAAAGCTCTCGACCGGAATATGTATCAGTAGGGGAGTTTTCTTCTGAAGAATTATGGTTTAACAGGGGCTCTAGGAGATCCTAATCAATTCTGATTAAACTTTCTTTGGGAGGAGGGGCTCAAACCGCAACGAACTATCCGGAGAAGAAGAGACACATCCGTCTTCGAATTCTCTTAGAACGCAGTACAAGTTCCGAAGAGGCAATTTTGCAGAACCAACAAAAACATCTAGGAAATAAAGGAGATCCCTGATGAAAAATAATTGTCCCTCAACGTGTTGTATAAGAATTGCTGTACGAAGGCTTTAAAGCCGCAATGAGAATCTAGGAAACTAACGAGACCCCTAAGACTTCCCGGAGACTTTCATAGAGTACAGATTAGGGTTTTGGGACCACTCATGTCCTCAGAGCCAGCCAATGCATCACCAATACCTCGCTATCGGCCCCTCAGTGTAGTCTTGCCCCATTGAAAGTAAGCTTCAAGGATCTTAGGCTGTCAGGGTTGCATATCTAATTTCAAGGGTGCTCTGCTGAGAAGTGACTACTCTTCCCAGACTGAGAAGCAGAGCAATGGAGAGGCAAAAGGGAGGCCAAACAATGGTAACCATGTCGGACCTTTACACACCAGGGAGATGTGTTCACCATGAAGTTCAGTCATTTTTCACTCATTTCCGAACCTGGTCATGTTTGCAATTTTTAACTTTTTTTGCGCTAGGATGATGGATTCCAGGCTAGAAAACATTCAAAGAAGGCTTCAGAAATCTTCATCTGAACAATAGCCTAAACCTGCAGTATCCCTTTGACTGACCCCTATACTTTTTGAAGCACGGACTCCCCTATATAACTGCCCTTTAAGAAGTTTGGACTATAGCTCATCTCCGGCCCCTTGACATGGTAAGCACGCAACCATCGAAGGCGGGCGAGTCTCGGCATCCCCGCGGAATCCGCCTTGGGATAAAGGAAAATGATGCAGAAAGTATAGGGGTTACAGGAATTGTATAGGGATTATATTGGGTGTATATAAGGATTATAGGGAATACATTAGTAATTGGGGTTTGGGGTTTATAGGAAAGAAACGGAGGTTTCCCCAAATTAGGGTACCATTGTACCATTTTGGGGTATAGCGTTTTCAGGTTCAGAGGGGGGTCCTCCGATTTTGGGAAACTACCAAACGAATATTCAGGATCCCCCTCTAAAATTTCTCAGCTTTGACGTGGCAATGTTGTGTATATTTGTAGATGGACTGACCATATAGTTGTTTCCTACAAAGCCCGGTTTTGCTTTGCCACTCAAAGCCTTTGATGCATGCCCTATGGAACCACGGAGTGGCTCCATACCCTAGGGCCCTAGGGATCGCAGCATTTGGCTTCATATGAGGTTCTGGAACGAGGGAGTGTGGACGGATGTCCCCACGAACCGCGTTCCCATGCGTAAACATTCAGTAGCGCGTTTTTTGGTGGTTGAACCCAGTAAGATTATACTCCTAATATCAGATACTATACCCCAAAAGGATTACATAATCTTACTTCTTGGGCACCATAATACCCCCAAATAAAATACTATTCATTTTGGGAAACATCCAGATCAAAGTGATTTTGCGGTAGCTGGAGCCAAGCAAAGTGAGAGGAGCAAGGACACAAAAATGCTTTGGAGTGTCTACCGTACCGCGTGCCGGGCCTGTTTAGGATTCGTGACTGCGGGGGTTTGGTTCGGGACGTGCCTTTACGTGACACCTCATTTGTCCCTTAAATTTTCTGATCAAATGAATTGTGATACATGTTGTAGGAGACAACCAGGAAGCATTGGACACGCCTGCGGTAACAGAAGTGTGTGGTCCAGCTACTCCACAACGAACATTCCGTTTTGGCCAGGCGCCTTGATGATGAGGTTGCGGTATTGCAAACGCAGCGCTTGCGAAAGCTATGGTACATTGACGGAGCTGAACAGTGACGGCATGCATATGGCAGGGCTTGACGTCCCTCCCATTCAGCTGTGTTGTACAGCAGGTAGCGAACGAGAGGGCGCAAGCCAGCAAAAGCCTGCAAAACCAGCTTCTGCAGAATTAAGAACTCTGAAGGCTCAAAACGAAGAACATTGACGACTCATGTCTGCTAAGCCAGTCATGGCTTGAGCATTCGAGAATTCAAAGAGATGTGCATATTCGTCCTGAGCTCCGGATAGGAGGCGATGCTGGCCATGTTCATCAGCCTGCCATGCCATGGTGCCAACAGCTAGAGAATGACCAGGAAGACCAAGGATTGCACGAATGTTTCCATGAACATCTATGATATCCTCATCGCCGTGACTCCTGCCCATCTTTGCCTCAAGGTGCTCAATCTCTTGTGTTAGCTCACGAACTTCCTCGAGGTCTCCCTCGCCTGAGTGCACAAGCTCGATGACCATATCGCGTCGGGCTTTCAAGTCACTTATGAGATCAGTCATCTTCCCACCTCCTTCAGCGGTGCATAATGCAGCCCTCGCACCCGCGGGATCCAGCGCCCACAAACGAATACTGCTGTCAGTGGTGCCTGATGCAAACAGCTGCTGATCAGGAGAAAGAGCAAGGCTCCTCACGCAGGAAGTATGGCCCATATACCTAGCGAGGGGCATCTCAATCCGCTTCCGCAGGTCCCATCGCTTGATGCAGTAGTCATCGCCTGCTGAGAGCAATTGGCTCTCTCCACACCAAACGGCATCACACACCGTGTAGCCGGCAGCTGCATCAGGAATTTCTGCCATGACGCATGATGCCATACTAGAGGTGTTCATATCAAAAATAACCACGCGTCCGTCTCGCGATGTGCTGCAAACCCTGCTTCCATCGTCGGAGATCTTAATGGATGTCACATGGCCTTCGTGCATCGGCCAGGACGTGATGCAAGTCCCGGTCTCCAAATCATGCATGCCAATTGAGCCGTCACTGGCTCCTGCCAGTGCCACGTCCTTTGCGAGGCAACAGGCTAGGATGGGACCTCGCTGGGTGAATGACGCCTTGACCCGCTCCTCTGCCATGTCCCAGAGATGCAAGTTATCAGTTTTCCTCCCAAATCCTACCAGGATTCCAGCACCGCCGGGAAATCCATCCGTACAATACAGAGACGCGCCAACGTTGCACTTTTTGACAGGCTCATCAGCGCGGTTGTTGCTCTTGAATATCAGCAACTTCCCTTCCGAGGTAGCCGCCAGAAACTCGCCCTCTGCAAGCCAGCGCAGTGTCTCAACTGTGGCGTGGAAATGCTTGCTGTACTTCAATACCGGGGTCATGCTCTGAGGCATTGGGAAGTGTTTTGCAAAAGACGGGTCTTGCTCCACACTGTTCCTATAGTCGATAAAGGGTGCACTTGCTTCTGAGAGTAACTGTTTGACCTTCTCAGGCGTGCTGAGCATGGAGTAGACGATCTTGAACTGGTCAAAGTTGATCTGTCCGCGACCGTCTGGATCTACAATCTGGAAGACTTTCTTTAGGGTGTTCTTGCTGCACCGGATGCCTAAATCTTTGCTGACCGATGACAGCTCCTCAAGGCGAACCTCTCCATTGCTTCGCAGGTCTATTTTTCGAAAGGCCTGCATCAGCTGCTCTGGATCCCCCGCGGCAGCTTCGTCTACTTTGGCTTTTGCCTTTGCCTTGCTACGCGGCGTCGACATTGCGGCCGGGCTCAGACGCCCACGCGGGGCACGGGCGTCTAAAGAAAAACAAGAAAAGGCACAGGCAGCATGTGCGTTGACATGCTTGAGCGTTCAAGGCCTGATGACACCACATGTGCCACTTGCTGGGCATGCCAGTAAGCCCGTCAAATCTCTTGCCGAGTACACGAAGTCCGCCTCACAAATTGCGCCCGAGACGCTCCGGGCACAGATACACGCAGCGGTGGACATGAATGCCTAAACCTTGCCAAGCAAGACAAGGGATCGCCACAGAATATCCTTTGGGGATGAAATGATGCCTCTGAATATCCGCTATCCGCATCAGGCGAACAAACCTCCTGGCCCGCAGTGCTGCATTCACTGCATCTCTTGGGCGTCTGACTGAGGTCGGTGCCATGCTTTGCACTGGCAAGAGAGGACATCGCCTGACAGAGGCCGGTAAGTTTAAGTTTAAGGGGCTCTTCATATTCTGCCAGGCTTCAGAACTTGCGGACGTCTGATACGCAAAGAGGAAATCTAGGGGCCGAGGATCTGATACGACTGTAAGCCACATCTCGGATCTTCAGAGCTGAGAAGGCTATCTGCGAGTTTTTGAAGACTACCCCTACATAAGCCTTGGCAAAACCAAAGAAATCCAAAGTACTCTTGCGGTTCTCCTCTACTCAAAACCCACCCGAAAGAGCTGGGAGAGCGGCTGGCAGCTCGGAGTTGTCTCTCCTTGGCGTACGCGCCTTGGCAAGGTTGCATTTCGGTGTTGCTTTGCTTGGAGGACACATGGCCGGAGGCTTCCCGTTACCAGAACAGATCCACATTACCCGTGCTTTTTGCTGGAGTGCTTCGCTTATCCACTCCTCATGCCCGCTCAGTCGTCCAACAAGTCGGCGACCTCCTGTGCGGCAAAAGGACGAAAAATTGCCTTCGTCTGCGTTATCATATCACAGCTCAGGGACACGCTCATGTCTGTGGCTGCTAATGCAGTGACTCCTCCACTGATTTTCGCTTCTTCGGCGCAGGGGGCGCCTCGAAGCATGGGCTGCTTTCTCTGTGGTTCAGGTCTGCATTGAGAGACTTGAGCCAAGGGTTCCAGAGCCTTAGAGGCGAGTCAACTGAGTTCTTTGAGCCCAGGCCTGCTTTGCTTTGCTGGGCATTTGTGCAGAAACCCCTTCCCAGGTTATGGTAATCCCATGTAATCCCTCCCCCATAATATTATAGAATACCACAATGGGAATATTTAATGTTACCGGGGGGGTGGGGGGTTTGCACATTAGGGGAGGTGATTACACTTTTTTCTCGGAAGTGGTCGGGATCCTGAAGACACCCATCTTGGTCCCATGAGGCGACCGAATGCTGCTATATGGCAGTTTCCATAATTAGGGGGACCCCAGTACAGACCCCAAAGGACTGTAATCATCTATAATCCTTAGCATGGGACTCCCCAGTCAGGTACCCCCAATTTTGGGGAAACCTCCATATCGTTGAACATTACTGCTGGTGCCTCATGGACATAAAAGAACACCATGGCCCGTTGTGAAGGGACGCCGAAACAAAGCCCATTTTTGTTGGAGGCATACCAACTTCTGACTCCTGAACGAGCTATAGGCTTAACTCCTAGTATCCCCCTTAGTAGCCCGTATAGTAGTCCCCTAAACAATCCTCTATATAACGCCCTTTAATTAGTTTAGACTATAGCACAAATGCTATCTTCCCCAGAGTTTGTATAGTATTGGCTCTACGTACTTCCTCTTGCAAGCCACTCGGATGGCAATTACTACAACCTGCCTCTGGCAGGAGCTCCACAAGAGCTGCGCCAGTGTATGCATTGAAGCAGACGCTATTCACCTTACGCAGGGACCTAGAGAGTACCACAGCCCCTAAAAAAGAATACTCGTTAACGCATGTTATGAATGACTGCGAGAGGTAGATTTCTCAATTGAGGGGTTTTGGGTTCTGAGGGCATGGCATCCCTCACAGGTTCTTGGAGCATGGGCATACCGCATGTACACTTGCCAAATCCTAATGCTCTGGGACCATCGCTGGGCGCTGCCCTCAGTACAACTTTAGCAGTGGGGGGTAGAACGTCGGAGCGTCCTACTGGAAGCCTTGCTCTGCACCAACATAAATGTAAGGATGCTCCTGTTCCAGCATTGTTCTTTCCAAACATCCATCCGCCCTACACCCTTTGCTGTCCCTGCTATGCCCTTTTAACTGGCGACTCCTAGTTTTTGTCATAACTGGGTGCTTCCCGAAACTAGGGGTACTTTTTTGGGGTCCTCACACTACGGATTATGATATTGCGGGTGTATATTGGGGTCCCCCTATTCTGGAAAACTAACGGAATTCAATGCATTATTACATTGCTCGGGTTACACTCGAAGTTGTGCAATGAAGGAAGCCATTGGGACGTGGAATCCCATTGGAACTTCTCATCTGGGATGGTCATAATCATGGTGAAGTTCAAAAGGCTCATGAACCTTTATGCGAGCGCTCGTCTTGGGAAACCTTAGTAGAAACCCTTGACATCTTGCAGCTCCTTCTCTAGCAGTGTGCTAGGAATCCTGACAACCATGGCGTTGGGGGTGGCTGCCTGATAAGTTCGCTCACGTGCTTCGTACATTGTAAACGCTGGGGGAGCCTGTTCACAGTCTACAATTATCGTAACGACAAAAAAAAGCGTGCCGGTACCAGAGTGAGCCGAAGCGTGGCTGTTAGGGACATATTTAAGCACGGATCTGAATACAACACAGCAGGAGGGCCTGAGCCCTCTGAACCCTGCTTGCCACAGACTCTTCAGAATGCTTACATTCTTGCTGAGGCTACGGCAAGAGGCGGATCCTTCCGAGTTATGGCCTTCAGCCAGAGAAAACGCGCTTGCTTGGGGCCGGTAATTGCGAGTATGAATTGCTTCCCGCTACGTCTGCCATGCTCAAGGACAAAACTAGCTAAGAACTGCAGTGAGAGCCTTCACGCTTGGATCATAGCGATCTTTGTGTTGCGGATCGGACTACGAAAAGGGCTCTGAGCCAACTCACTATCCGGCAGCTCTTTACCAACTCCAGGAGTCCATCCTCAAAGATCTGCCCACTTCATGCCCACTCCAAAAAGGCATGCCGCTTGAACCCCGCCTCGGCTCTGAGCCTAGGTGTTTTTGCCTCAGAAATCTTCGGAAGCTATTTCAGAAATGAGGCTGGGGATCTACTGCCTTTGTATCATATATCAAAAAGTTGCACAAACCTGCCCCAAACTATTCGGAAACCTTCCCAGCTGAAGTCCCAAAAAAAAACTACACGAAGCCTGAACAATCCTCATCTGATTTATTTCTTTATAACCTGCAAAAGGCGTGCACAACAAGCACATCGCTTTGACTACCCTGGATCTTGCTCATCAGAAGAGGTCCTCCCTTTGTCGTCAGGATGAGCACTATATCAGTCTTCAAGATGTACGGACGGTGACCCAAATTTGGAGACGCACCCATGTCGCACCTTCCTGGTCAAATTCTCTCTGCATTGTCCTAAATGTGTTTGGCATACGCGCCCTGTATGATAGGCAGAAAAGACTTCAAAAGGCCCTAGACCCTTTTCAACCCGGACTTGACTAGGGCCCTGAACTTGAAACCCTGAACCCTAAAGCCCTAAACCCTGAACCCTAAGCCCTGAACCCTAAACCCTGAACCCTGAACCCTAAGCCCTGGACCCTTAACCCTGAACCCTTAACCCTGAACCCTAAACTCAAACCCAAGCAGCCTTGATCACCTCCTGGGACAGCAGGCCGCCCAGGACGGAGGCTACGTGGATGAGCGGCTCCACAAAGAAGTGGCCGAAGGCCTGCAGATGTAGCTCTAAGGCTATGAGGATGATACAAGGAGTAGTTGATGTGTGAAGCACGACTGCAGTTTTAAGGAGATCTGCGTGGCTGCTGGAATTACCGCTTTCGCAGTTTGGAGTTTGGATTTGGACTGGGCGTAGCTTGCTTCCTTTTTACATAACTTTATTAGACTTTATTATTCTACTGACTGAGCCCCGAACACCTCGGCGAACTAGAAAGTAGCAAATAGGATTGCTGGATTCAAAATCTCCAGATGTCTCTCCGCTCTGTAACATCGAAAAGTCCCCATCATATACCGTAGTGGGTCCAGGGTCTTGTCAATAGGGTCAGAATAGAAACTGCTGCGAGGCCACTTTGGCATGGCAATGCAAGTTCTTCTGGCAGCTTCTCTGAGCTGGCAATGCAGGATCTGCAAGAAGATCAACACAAGAAGCACGAGCAGCCTGAGTAAAAGGACCCGCGCATAGAGACAACAATTTGGACACAATGTACATGCCACGCCTCTTTCATATCAGCAACGCCATCAACAGATGGCTGACACTTCGCCTCACAAGCAAAATGCGCAACCGCGTGCATGGGGATGAAGGCCCTGAAGACGACTCCAGTGAACCCCGAATGAAATCCCCATGAAGCTGTAGATATCCCACACACTTCCCTAAACCATCCCTGCGCTACCCCTGCTGCAGAGGCAGGGCCCATGCCACGCCCTTGCCAAGCTGCTGTGTCTCGACAATACGTCTCGAAGTCAGATGCCGCGCTTGGCGTGGCTTTGCCTGCACCAGGGAGTGTGGAGACATGCTCCTGTCCCACAGTATGTTTTGGTGGTCAGCGGGAGGGATGGCTGCATTCTACAGGACGCGCAGAAGGTTAGGGCCGGTTAGAAGCACAGGTACCACAAACTGAAGGTCAGCAAACTGAAAGAGGCTCACTTATGCCTGGGATGCGCAACCCCAGAACCTGAACACCCAACCTGAGTAGGCTCAATGTTCTCAAGAAAGTTCTTTGACAGCTGCTCAGGGCAACACTGGTACAACCACAGCCTCCGTTCCGCAGGAAAGATGCGAACAGGCCAATGAGCTTGAAAGAGGCATCGCTCTTCCTTGGCTTCCGCGTTTGAATCACGAGAACCCCTACAGCTAGCGCAATTGCTCAAGTGGTGGGGCAAGAAGTCGCGTAGGTTAGGGGTAGAACTTCTTCGAGATCGCAAAACATGCGCCAGAATCTCGCCAGACTCCAGCTCACAAAGAAAACCTGTCGTGCCCGCTGAGGTGCCCGTGCAGCAAACGCGGGATCCCGCTCAGAAAGTGGCCTCAGCTAGCGCCGTCGGCCAAATCAATCGCTAACAGGCTTTTGTATTCCACAGGCGATGCGATCACCAAATGCACCGAAAGAACAACAAAAATACCAGCATCTACACCAGATCTGACATCCTTCATCCAGCTGCTGAAGGGAGGGAAGCTGAAGGTCTCTGGGTCCTGAGGTCCTGCAGCAGATTTGCGTTCATTAACTTCCTATAGACCTGTGCGAGAGCCCTACCTAGCATGCAGAATCTTTGCAAGCCTCGTGACTTTTCCGCCTGAATCTCTGCACCATTCGTAATCAGTCCTGAGGATTCTGCAGCACCCTGGGCAGAGCTCCGCTCCTGGCTGAACCGAGCAGGAGGCAATCAAGTGATATTGAGTGGCAGGCCTGCACTAGGCATAGCACAAAACACTAGAGTCACTAGAGTTTTCAAATGGTCTTCGTAAGTGCCCACAGGGCCTGCATGACATGCTCATTCTGATCGGAGAAGAAGAAGGCCATCTCGCCCGCTGCGACTGTAAGCATGAAGCCAGCGCCTTGACAGCAACTTACTGCATGCTTGTTAGTCGGGAATGAGAGAGAGCAAAGACAGTGGAGAGTACTAGAC